TCTCTCCTCGCCCTGACCCACTAAAGGCCTCTTCCTCAGGTGGTCTAGCCGGCCGCTGACATCACCGCTCTCCCATAGTCCCTCCCTGACTGTGGGGTCCCTCTCCAGGCCTAAGGAAGAGAGCCTTGTGTCAAACTCAGAGCTGCTCCCAGCACAGGACTGAGATCCATCCTGTAAAGTCAAGATTGATGTCATCCTAAGAGAGACGCATGCCCAGCTTGCTCTCACACAGTCCCCGGGAGGCTGACCTCCCTGTGGCTGGGGTCCCTGAACCACAGCCCCCGCAGCCACTAACACAGAGCTGGCAAAAAGTTTCATTTTCCCCCAAACAAGAATAAGCCAGCTGGTGGTGGTGCATACCTTTGATCCCAGCACTCGGGAAGCAGAGGTAGGAGGATCTCTGAGTTTGAGGCCAGCCTGATCTATACAGAGCGAGTCCCAGGGTAGCCCCCCCCCCTACACAGAGAAACACTGTATCGAAAAAACAAAACAAAACAAAACAAAAAGACTGTGTTGTTGTAGCCAGGTATGGTGGTGCATGCCTTTAATCCCAGGCAGATCTCTATGAGTTTGAGACCTGCCTGATCTATAAAGCAAGTTCCAGGACATCTAGGGCTGTTACACAGAGAACCCTCTCTAAAAAAAAAGAAAAAAGAAAGAAAGAAAAGAAAAGAAAGAATGCTGACATATGGAGTTCCTTCACTTTACCCTGAGTTCTCTATTTACATACCCAGAACCTGCTTTCCCACCTAACACTCGGATCCCGCATTTAAGGATGGCCATGGTGGTTCACACCTATTATAACTGTCCTTCCCAAGTGCCAAGAAGGCAGCCCCTTCAGGCGAGCGGCTGGCCCCGGCTCAGGTGCCGCAACCCATGGGCCGGGCTAAGCACAGGGTGTGTGACTGCTGAGATGGTCTGTCTGCAATTTCTCCCAGCCAGTCCCTCGCTGATTCTCGTCCCCCCTCTCCCACTCTGGAGCCCCCAGCCCAGATGACTCTACAGACCCAGGGAACAGTCAACAGACAGATGTACTTGAACTCCGCCAGCCGCCGACGTCAGAGCAAAGAAGCCTGATGGGAAATTCAAAGATCATAGCTATCTGGCTGTAGGATGCATAACACAGTGTGGTGTTTACCTCAAAGCCGCCTTCCTAATTATGTTTTCCTGGGCTAAAATAGCAAATTTGCTTTCCCTAAGGACACCCAGCCACAGTGGAAGGCAAGGCAGCTCAGAAGCTTCCAGAAGGACAGGAGGACAGCCCAGACAATTCTGAAGTGGGGGTCCAAGGGCAGGTGACAGCATGGGCTGGGAGAAGTTGGAGGGCTTCTGCAGGGTGCCCCTGTGGCTCTGGCTGGTTAAACCCCAGAGCGGCTGGGGTGGGATAGGGCTGGCATGTGTGAGCACCCAGACTCCCATGAGCCCTGGCACACCCCCACCTCTCTCCCTGTGTCCCAAAGCCACAGTGTCCCTGCAATTTATAGCTGTGCCTGTGGAGTTTGATGGGCTCCGCTGGTCATGATGGATGGCTGCTATTTCCCCGAGATAGAGCTTGGAGGTGGCGCGTGCTCCCCCACCCGCAGGGCTCCCTCCTTCTCCGGGAGCAGATGAAGGGCAAGGAGTGGAGGGAGGGGCAGGCCAGCCCTGGGAGAAGCCAGAGTCGGTGAATGTGGAGTTTTCCACCAAGCTGGGTCCCTGGACCCTTGACAGCGCTGTTCATCCAGCAGGGGGTAAGGGGGTGGGGCTCTGTGCCCTGAAAAACACACCTGTGGCCTGAGGTTATTCTTGGGCCCAGACAGAAGGCGGGTCTGAACCACAGGCAGGGACGGGCCTGAAGGGACACAAGGGTGACAGCAGTCCGCACAGAAGAGGAAAGTCTCATGCGGACCCAAGGAAGCTCGACACCTTAGCCCCCCTCCATCTCGTTCTCAGCAGCCTCTCTGCTCCTGCTCTTGCCAACGAATAATCCATTTCTCACGCAGCAGTCAGAGATGTATTTTTAAGGAAATCCATTCAACCCTGCATCTCAACACAAACACACACACACACACACACACACACACATTAAATTTAAATTTGAAAGCCTAGGCTAGTGAGGTGACTCAGCAGGCAAAGGTGGGCTTGCCCCCAGTTCCCTGAATGAGATCTTGAGTTGGACCTGGTGGAAGGAGGGGACTGACTCCCACATGTTGTCCTCTGACCTTCACACACTTGCCGTGGCACCTGTACACACACACACACATACACACACACACGCATACACACACGCATACGCATACACACACGCATACGTACACACATGCACACACACGCACACACACACATACACAGACTCAGAAGACGGAGGCAGGAGGACCAGACGTTCAAGGTGATCCTCAGGTGAATATCAGGTTCAAGGCTACACTGGGCTCCATGAGACCCTGTCTCAAAACACCCAAACCGTGGGCTCAGTGAATAAAACACTTGCTGCACAGCCGTGGGTCCCGGGGTTGGATCCCCAGAATCTATGTAAAATCCAGGCAGGTGTGTCGACCACCTGCAATCTCAGCACAGGGAAAGCAGAAAGGGGTCCCTGAGGCAATCTGGCTAGGCGGACTAGAGGCAGCCGCAAGCTCCAGGCTCGGTGACACACCCCTCTCCATAAATGAAGCAGAAAGCAAGCAAAAGAGGCACACCCAGGCCTCCACAAGCACTCACACGCTCACGCACCCACACACACGCAAACATACCCTCGGGCGTGCACGCCACACACGCAAGCAAAACACATAAGTAAGTAAACAAGTAAACTGAACATGACTCTTTAGCCCGGCCATAGAACGCCGGCGTGCTGAAGGAGAGTGGCTGACACAGCGCCCCCTGACCTCTGCCTCTTTAGACCTCCCCATCACTCACCACACTCTGCCGTATCAACCGCCGTGTAGCCTCTCTCCTTCAGCACGCCAACCCCAGGGCCTTTGAACTTACCACCCTCACTACCTCCACCCCCTCCTCCTGGCTCCACGTGGCTGCCTCCCTCCCTCATCACCTGTGTTACTCATCACCCCTCTTACCCACCCTTTGGAGCCTGTGCCAGTGTCTGAGATGACCTCCGTGCTCCCTACAGACAGCACCAGCCTCCCCACCCAGGCCTTTCCGTAGCTCCGTTACTTTGCCTCTTGGTAACCCCCAACACCCAGCTCTCTCCTTTATTCTGTTTGATGCTAAATCCTAAGTGGCATCAGCTCTAAGTAGGGAGCCAGTACCAAGGAGGCAGAGCTCCCAGCGGTGAGGGAAGAGGGAGGAGCTCCCTCTGGGAATCCCAGCTCTGTGGCAGGCACCATACAGGATGCCTGCCTGAAGCTGGGGTCCCAGCAATGTAATGTAAATATAAACATTCTCTAAACCAGAGGGGGTGGGGCAGGGAGTGGCTCAGCTGATGCATACGAAAAGCCCTGGGTTCCACCCCCAGCACCATGTAAACCAGACATAGTGCTGCAGGTCTATAATCCCAGCACTTGGGAGGTAGAGGCAGAAGGATTGCAGAAGTTCAGGGCCATTCTTAACTGCAGAGTGAGTTTAAAGCTTGCCTGGGGCTACATGAGACCATGTCTCAAAAAAGAAAAAAACAAAAATAGAAAGGAAAGAAAGGGAAAAGGAAACTCTCAAAACAGAGCACAAACTAACAAAAGATTTCCTTCCTGGTTTGTAAATTCACAAATACGAAAAGTCCCACAAAGGGGGAAAGACGGCTCAGTGGGTAAAGCTACTTCTGCCAAGCCTGAGCCCAGAGCTGGATCCCGACACGCACGCGGCGGAAGAAGAGAACTGACCTCCACATGTGTGCCATGGCATGCATTCGTGCACACGTGTGCACACAGTAAATAAAGTGTTCAATCCCCAGTGCCACCAACCAACCAAACCCGAGCCACACATGGCCCACCGCACAGGGACGACCCACGGAGAGGAGCATCGCCGTCCGGAAGGCGAGCCGTGCCTCCGAACATCCGTGCCTCAGTTTCCCCAATACACCCTGTACAGTGCTTGATGGGCAGAGGTGATCCCATGAGAAGGACACAAGGTACCCAGTGTTCTACAGTTAAACGTCGTCCCCTTGGCATGTGGCTGATAGTGTCCATCTGGGTGGCCAGGGCATTTGCTCAACTGGCAGTCAGTTTGGGGGTGGCCCAGAACCAGCAATCCAGAGCAGGCAAGCCAAATGGCAGGGGACGCCACACCAGTCCTCAGAAGCATACTGTGTCCCTCTTCACTCATGGGGGACCCGCTAACAACTCCCCGGCCCCAGCGCTCAGTAGGCTGAAGGAGGAAGATTGTAAGTTCAAGGCTATCCTGGGCCAGACACACACACTCACACACACTCACACACACGTATGCATTTATAATGAGTATGATAAGTGTGTGTAAAGGATACAGCGGGAAAACTCAACACTACGTGGGAGCTGCTGGTCCCCAGAGAGAAAGCGGCAGGAGTCTCCAGTTTTCACCTGCGCTATTTTCTTTAAAGAGGACAGAAGATGTCTACAGATGAGACAAAATGTTAGTGGTTGTTGAGTCTGGGAGGGAGGAGCCTGCGTTCTGATGTGTGTCTTTGCCTTTTGGGGATGGCTGAGAGTACACAAATCCCGTAAGCTGTCTGTGCACGCAGAGCCTGAAGTCTGTGTCCTGCTCTGTGTCCGCTGCATTCCCTGGAGAGGGGTCTGCCGCTGAGCCTGGAGCTAGGCTGCAGCCCCAGATGTCTTCCTGGCCTCCCACAGAAGCACGGCTACACCCAGGTTTTACATGGGTGCGGGGGATTTGAACTCATGCCCTTACGCTTAAGCGGCAAGGGTTTTTTTACACGCTGAGCCCATCTCCCCAGCCCTGTTTTTTTTTGCAATCGCGAAGTTTTTCTAGCTTACCAGAAAGGGGACCTTGGCTGAGCTCTATAGGTACATTTGAGGCTACTCTGCACCCCCCAGAGCCCCAGGGACACCCTAGCTCTGGCCCGCCCCACCTCTCCTCACCTGTCTGCGGCTAAGTGTGCCGCACTGGCTGTGTGGTGCAGCTCGCTGCTGTTCTCCAGCCTGGCCAGCACGTCCATGCGCTTTACCATCAGCTCCAACAGGTCACTCATCTTGCGGAGCGCGCCACGGGATTCGGAGCCACCCGGCACTGTGGACAGAGCATGGGCATGGTCAGGGGCGGTCGCACCCCCCAGTCCCACCTCCATCTCCCCAGGCCACCTCACAGGAGGGGTTAGCAGAGTGTGCCTCCTACCCACTCACCCTGCAGGGACCCCCCCCTTTACCTTGCTGGTGGCAGCGATCGATCTGTTGGGCTAACCTGCCCCCTCCCCACTTGTTAAGCTGAAGGACTTTCTCTCTCTCTCTCTCTCTCTCTCTCTCTCTCTCTCTCTCTCTCTGGCTTCTGGATTGTGGACTGTATGATAAAACTCTAGGTGTAGCGTCTGAGGTGCTCTGGGAATCAAGGGTCTGTGAGTTCCGGGAAGGGGAGGCCTGGCGCCCTCGTGCCTTGCATGAGCCAGGTTTCTGTAAGCACTGCGCACTGACTGAGGTTCTGGGCCTGGGGTTCTGTGCTAGCCTCCTGTATGACTGACTCAGACACTGGGTCATCCTGTGTTCTGGTCCATGTGTATGAGAATACAAAGTACAAAGGAGCAGGGGAGCTAACTGCAACCGTTCCTCAGGAAGAAGGTACCAGAATACCCCAGCGGCCTCCATGGAGCAAGCAGAACTGCAGAGGAGACACATGGAGTCTCACCAGCCCCCTTTGTGGGCAGAGGGAGGGGAGTCAACCTTCTGCTCTTGGCCTCAACATCCCTGTGATGGGGGATGTCCTTCTGTACATATGTTTCTCTTATTGGTTGATGAATAAAACACTGTTTGGCCGCTGGGCATTGGTGGCGCATGCCTTTAATCCCAGCACTCGGGAGGCAGAGGCAGGCGGATCTCTGTGAGTTTGAGGCCAGCCTGGTCTACAGAGTGAGTTCCAGGACAGCCTCCAAAACAATACAGAGAAACCCTGTCTCAAAAAAAAAACCAAAAAAACAACAAAAAAAAAAACACTGTTTGGCCAATAGAGGCAGGAAGACAGGCGGGACTAGGAGAATTCTGGGAAAGGTAGGCAGAGAGAACCCACAAGAGGACACCATGTAGACCACAAAGGAGTAACAGGTCCGGGCATTCTCCAGTAAGATAAGACCATGTGGAAATACATAGATTAGTAGAGATGGGTTAATAATAAAGACAGAGCTAGGCAGTAAGAAGCCCTAGCCATCGGCCAACGGTTTTATAATTAATATAGAGTCTGTGTGTTTATTTGGGGCAAGGCGGCTGCGGGACAAGAAAGTCCATCAACATCCCTAACTCGAGGCAAGGATATCAAGGCTTGCCTGCAGCCCAGCATCCTGCAGGGGCGGCAAGAGCCACTGAGAATAAGATGAAGAGGAGAGAGGGGGAAGGGAGGCAGCTAGATGGTGATGAGGTTGGGGGGGGGGGCGGACAATGCCTCCGTGGCTGTTCAGGACTATCCAGGCTATCCATACCCTCTCTTCCTCACTTTTCCGCCAGGCCCAGACACTGCCTGCTTCCCCACACTGACACAGGACCCCTCAGGCTGGGCTCCCCTGCCAGCAGAGCCTGCGTGCAGTCAGAGAGAGGCCACAGAGCCAGGAGGGATCTCTTACAGCATCGCCTGGGAACTGGCAGCCAGGCATCTGCTGCTAAAATCCCTCCTCAGAGGGAGACTAAAACAATACCTGCCCTTTCTCTTAAGGTCCCAATCACAAACTGAGGCACGATCCCACCAGAGTTCACTGGGCTTCCTTTCAGAGCACAGCTGAGGGGGTTACCTACAAGGGTGTGGGCGCTCCTCCCTCACAGGCCAGCCTGGAAAGCCTTTACCCAGCAGGGGTGAGGACTTTCCAGAACCCTCATAGATGGAGCCATCCTCTTTACTCCCCTACCTGCCCTAATGTCCCCGCCCCGCCCCAGGCAGAGCTACACTGAGCATGTGAAGGAGCAGTTGGACACTCAGGTGAGGTAAGGGACTCATGACCTTCCTCACCCCCTCCATGAGATTGAAAACAGTCCACAAGCCCAGCAGGGGTGACCCTTTTGCAAGAGGACACAGCGGAAGTCCCGAAGATGACGGCTGGCTGCTTGTCTCGGAGAACAGTCACTCAAGAAGCATGAGAAACGGGGGTCTGCGTCCTTTGGAGACGTATCCCTGGCTCTGAGGGGAAACCAGTGGAAAGAGAAGGAGAGGGAGAGGAAGGAGCCGGAGATGTTCTAGGAGTCACATGAGTCACATGGGACAGCGGAGATAGACGGGGAGGAAGGAAGGGAAGGAGCAGGGAGGGAGGGAGGAGGAAATGGATTCTCCTGCCCCTCAGTAAGGGGAATAGAAAAAGGCCTTCCTCGTCCAGGAAGGTGACCTTTGTTTTGTTTTGTTTTTCTTGTAGTTTTAAGTGACTAAGCCCAAGCCAGGTAGTGGTAGCACACACGTGAGAGACAGAGGCAGGCAGATCTCTTAGTTCGAGGCCAGCCTGGTCTACAGAGTGAGTTCCAGGACAGCTGAGACTACCCAGAGAAAGGGCGTTGGTATATAATCCCAGCACGCCTGTAATCCCAGCACGCGGGAGGCAGAGGCAGGTGGATCTCTGTGAGTTCGAGGCCAGTCTGGTCCACAGATGAGTTCCAGGACAGCCTCCAAAACAATACAGAGAAACCCTGTTTTGAAACCCCCCCCCAAAAAAAACAACAACAACAACCCTGTTTTCAAAGGGAGGGAGGGGGGCAGAGAGAGGAGAGAAAGAGACACAGAGAGAGAGAGAGAAGAGAAAAGAGGGGAGAAAGGGAGGAAGAAAGAGAGATTGATGGAGCCCAGAGCCTCGGGCATGCTGGGCAAATGCCCTACCACTGAGCTACATGGCCAGCCCTCAAGTGAGCTTCTCTAAAGATAACTCAGCCTGGGGAAATCCCAACAGCAGCCTCAGATAAATCAACCTGAGTTTCCCCATCACTATGCCCATCCTCTGCCACTCATATACAATCTGTGAGTCAGTCAATTAGTCCCCGCAACAAGACAGAAGCAGCGGACTCCATCTCAGCCTCACAGAGACCAGGGCAGCCATCACTCTGTCTCCTGACTGAGCCCAAACCCGGGACCCAGCATCCAGCTGGTGCTTGGAGCACCTAAGAGAAAGAAGAGGCAGGGGCCATCACTTCAGCTCACAGGAGAGGGGAGAAAGCAAATTTTGACCCGGCCACTGTGCTGCAGAGCCCCGGGGGTACCATCTGTACCGTGGATGCCTGAGGGGGTGTTGAGTCTGCAGTGCACAGCCTGCTCAGCCTTCCTGGGCTGCCCTGGGGGACCACCGCCCATTGCTTCATCTGCGGCAGCCCCTTTCCCAAGGGAGCAAGATGAGAAAGAAGAAAGAAACTACAGCTAATCACCCTAGAATTGGAGCCTGCTTAGCCACGCACTGGCCAGAGCACTCAAGACGGAATGACCCTCACAGCCTGGCCGGCAGTTCTGCGGGAGCACACGCATGCCTTCCTTGACTTCACTGGCCTTGGGGGCTGTGCTTCCTGGAGAGAGATCCACCAGCCCCTCCATCCCCATCCCCCACCACCACCCTCCCCCTAGCCCAGCCCAGGTTGCCCCTCCTCACTGCCTTCACCCACCATCGCTGGCCCCATCCATACTACTATCCAGGCTGCCCAGGACAGCTTGACAGAGTCTGGGAGTAACGGGGGGGGGGGGGACTTCATTCTCCAGCTCAGTCTCTCCTTGGGTAAAATGGGGGTGCGGGGGAGTCTGAAGTCGTCAGCTTTTGTAGTTCTATCTTCTTGTCACCTCCTTAGCGCTGATAGAAATTGGGGTCCCAGGAAAGGAAGGGAGGGGGAGAGGAGGAAGAGGAAGGAAATAGAAAGGAAGGAAAAGAGAGACAGGTGCCATAAAAGTAGAGATGGGGGGGGAGAGCGGGTGAGTCCCATGAAAGCTGGCACTGGAACCTCTCGAGGAGCATTTCACGTGGTTCCTGTGGCCCCTGGTGGGCCTGGGCACCACCACAGAGCGATAAACGACTCTGCACATCCACACAGGGAGACAGCTTCCTTGCACAGCCTAGAAGACTGGAGAAAGGGGGTCTGGAGACAGGGTAGAGGTCTAAGAAGGACGCAGGGAAACCCCTCTGCAGGAATGATCGCGGCGTGCGCATTGGGGTGAGGTTGGGAGGTCGTCTTGCCACCGATGGAGGAGTTAGAATCTGTCTTCCATGCTTGGCCCTGGTCCGAAGCCCCTGCTCCATGACCCTCTTTGTCCCCACGCGATTGGCTACAACACACACAGGCTTTTGGGCAAGGGACTTAAGAATAACGGGGTGTCCTTCCCAACAGATCAGGGCCAGAAAGACGAAGGAGTCAGGAGAGGAGGCGTGAGCTGGTTCCGTTGCTGAAGCAAGAAATCAGAGGAAGAAATGAACAGGGAAATGTAGGTCACCCCCACACAAGACTCTCTGGAGGCATTTGGGGGTCAGAGTCTACTCCTCGCTGCAGGAATTAATAAGGAGCCAGCAGGAGGTGTGACCCCAAAGCCAGAGGACTTAGTGGCCACTGCCCAGGTTTCATTATGGCTTTGGCTGAGGAGATAGACCCAATTCAATGGCTCTCGTGGCATTCTCCTGTTCCTAAACCAAGACAGCAAGATTGCTCCGGTTCCTGGGGCTCAGGAGTGGCCTTCTCCTCCTGCAAAAGGTGTGACTCCACCCTACTGGAGAAGCTCATGTGTTTGCTGAGGAGATACCTAAGGATAAAGGCACCCAAGAGGGGAGCGGGCCAGGAGGCAGGCCCTCCCCAAGAGACACACTCTCAGATGCCACCGCTGGCCCCCAGGACTACCAGCAAAGCAAGCTGACACATCCTCCCCTGAGTCACTTCCCATTCTTGGCATTGACTGAATTGAAATGAAGTCACTACGCGGCCCCAACAGTAAGTCTGGGAGCTAATGCACACGCGCTCCCCTCTGATTTCCATATAAATAAGGAAGGTTGGGATACTGCAGATATGAATAGACCCCACATTTAGAGAAGGGTGTTTTTATTACCCCGAGGCCAGCTAGTCTATCTCCTCCCCCAGACACTCTCTCTGTGGCTGTTTCTCCCATTCTTTTGTGTCCCTATGCCTTCCCTTTACCTTAATCAAGCCCCCACCTGCCAGAGAATAGAGCCCTCCCCGGCACTTGCAGAGGAAGCCTGGCCTAGGTGTCTGGACAGCTGGGAAAATGTGCATATTTGGGCTCCCGTATAGGACAGCCACTGCAGGCCCAGCTGAGGCAGCGGAGTGTGGGCTGCAGGGGTCAGGTTCCCCCCTCCCAGGGCTGAATGGGGCTCTTTTCTATCTATTAGCCCTCCTTGACCAAAACTATGGTCCACCACCAAGCGCCATCCACAGAACCCAGTGCACCCTCCCCTCACTGTCTGGCCTGGGGCCTGCGTGGTCAGCAGAGCCAGGACACCAGCCGTCATCTGCGGGCAGACACAGCAGCTGAGCTGGGACCTCCGGTCCCCCGTGTGCCCTAGAGAAGCCCCTGCCCACATCTGTAAGGAAGCTTGCTCAGGTCTGACTCCGTGGGAGGAGAAAGCAAGAACCTTCTAAGGAGGAGGGAGGGGAGGGACTAGGCAGGGACCAAAGGCAAGTCCCTCCCCAAACCAGAAGCCCCACCTTCCCCAAGGGGTTCCCACTCAGAGAGTTTCTTTTTTCTCTAAATCTCAGGACACTTTATTATCCTGGAGTGAATACACTGGCCCAGAGGAGGGGCCTCCCACGCCACACCGGGGGCCATAAAAACTGTTAGGAAACAGGGATGAGAGAGCCAGAGTGTGTTGCCCTCAGGCCCCGCTGCGTGAACTGTGGGCATGCTCTGTATCTCGAGACTTCACTTTAGAAATGGGAAGCTCCTGCAGGTGTAAACACACACACACACACACACACACACACACACACAACTCTAGTGTAACTACATGTGTAACCTGGAAGTTTCTCTCCCTTCCCTGGTACAAGATCTATGGCTTGAACTAGACCCTTCCCAAAGCACTGGCAGGGCAGAGACCATGAGATGGGGGTGTCGTCTTGGCCCCACCCCTTCGGTGGGGCGGGGAGCCAAAAGAACCAGAGCCCAGGCACAATCCCCATTCCTGAAATGTCTTCAGTCTTACCCAGCAGACTCCCGAACTTCTGGAAAATTCCGGAGGTCTATGCTCTTGAAGCCAACTTCTAAGCACATTCCCAGGGAACTGAAGCATCTTTCTCCGTGCTGAGCCCCCAACCATCTCTCCCCTGTCTCCTCCCCAGGGAGTCTTCACACTGCCCCCTCTTCTCCAGCCTCAACCCTTGAGCATCTCCTGTGTAGAGACCCATACACCTCACTGGTCCTCCTGCTCCCCTCAGCACCCATCCCCGGAGCACCCCCTCCCATACACAGCACACACACCACGTGTGCATGGGAACTCCACGCTGCACGGGATCCCCTCTCCAAGTGTACTAACACAGGCTCATGGCCACCCTCAGGAGGTAGTGCCCCACCCTGCTTACCAGAAGGGGGCCCGAGGCTCAGATACTGGGGGGGTCCCTGGAAGCCAGAGACAGGGTGTCGTGCTTGTCTGGAACAGCTATGAGGATACGTATGAGCTGGCTTCTGAGAGCTTTTGCAAATTTAAAGACTCGCGCTAAGGCAAGGAACAAGCCGGAGGATCTACCAGATGGTACACTAAGCGCCACTCAGAGCCCACTTGAGCTGACAACCCCCGCCACTCAGAACTCATCACTGGGAACCATCGAGGACGTGATCTCCAAGAGACTCTAGTCAGGTGGAACTCTCACAACACCAACAGCTCCAGAAGCCCCACCTGCCTCAGTCTCCCTGCCATGCCACGCTCCTTCTACCCACTATTGACCCAAGAGGCCCTGTGACACACCGTGCAGAACCCAGGAGGTCCCTGCTCCCAGCAGCCCCGTGAGCGGTGTGAGGAGGAGGAAAGGCAGGGCTGAGGACTTGTCACCTCCAAGCTGTTTGACAGCAGCGCAGTACCAGGGAGTTCTGCTCAGCAGCCCGCTCAACTCTCACCGGAGAGGGTCATTACTCCCTCAGCCCCTCTGCTCTCCTTCTCTCCGTGACTTAAGAATCTGGCAACACTACAAAGCTAGTGACTAGAGATTCAGACTGTCTGGTCCCAAAAGCCCACACTCCGCACCTGCATTCCATACCTAGCCAGCATCATGCAGGCCAGGGACAGAGAAGGAGCAGGTAAGACCAACATCACAAGAGCTCAGATGGGAGCCATGGGAGCCCTTTGTGGGCCTGGCCCCCTACCACAGCTCTGCTGGGGTCAAAGACGCAGAACGCAGGCCGCCGTGGAACAATCTTTTTGTACCCTGTGAATATCCGTTGGTTCTCACTGGCTTGATAAAGGGCTACACGGCCAATAGCTAGGCGGATAGAAGTTAGGCAGGACTTGTCAGCTCAGGGGAAGAAGGGCCGGGTCACAGGGAGTCTCAAGCCAGATGTAGAGAGAGCAGGAGATGAAGGCGCCATGCTAATAAAGGTACCGCCATGTGGCAGAGTGTAGATAAGGACATGGGTTAATTTAACTTGTAAGAGCTAGTTAATGACAAGCCAAAGACATCGGCCAAGCACTTACAATTAGTAAGAAGTCTCCATGTGGTTATTTGGGAGCGGGCTGATGGGACAGAAAACCACGCCTACAAACATGGGTCTCAAAGAACATTGTGTTCAAAGACACCGTCCCCAACACTCCAGCAACACAGGGGTCCCTTATGGCACTTGGGAGATCCTCCCTCTAGCCAGAGAATCCCAGTGGCAGTGACAGGGCCACAGCCCAAGCAGCATGCATGTCACAGTGCAAGTTCAGTGTCCTCCCCACACTTACACATTTGCATATTCAGAGGCCAAGGTCCCAGAAAGCCTGCTACAGGGGCTGAGCTTCGAGGCACCTCCCCTCTGACTTAAGATCACGCATATTTCTTGTTGGCACTCCCTGCCCTCAAGATTACCTTCTGTGCGGATGGTGAAGGGTGAGTCCCCCAGGCGCCTGGCAGAGAACTGGCCTCCCAAAGATGTCATCAGGAAGCAGAGAGTGAAAAAGCCGATGCCCAGGACAAACAGCCTGCGGGAGAGGGGAACAAGACGGACGCGGGTCAGCAGGGCACCAGCAGTCCAGCGCCCACTCCCAGCTGGGAAAGGCATGGAGAGCGGCCGGTGGAGTGGTTGCGGTGAGTCAGGAGTTCAAGGTCACCCTCAGCTACATAGCAAGTTCCAGTTCTCCTTCTGCTACTAAATGAGCTGCCCTCGGGCCAGCAAAGAACCAGCAAGTGAGAGCAGGGAGAATCAGACCTGGGGGTTGAGTTCCCAGACCCAGGAGGCTCCCACCTCAATGGGACAGAGAAACTGACCACATTTGGGGGCGGGAAGGAAACCGTGAACAAGAGGAGTGCACTCAGGGAGAAACTTGAACAGGGGCCAGACTCAGATGGGGCGTGTTCACCAGGAGCAGTGAGTCCCCAAAGTGCAGGGTGTGGACCAACGGTCAAGAACCACTAGGGATGGCTGTTCCGGGCGAGGGGCGCAGCTCAGCAGTAGACTGCTTGTCTGGCATACACCAGGCCCCGGGTTCAATCCCAGCACAGGCGGCAAAGGGAGGGGGCAGGAGAGAGGATATCATAAATCCCCCTTCCTCGATGGGACCCTGCACAGGGCAGGCCATCTGTTTTAGCCAGCTCCCCAATGACTCTGGTCCACAATGACGTGAAAATCATTGGTACAGATGGAACAGCGAGACCCACCTGGTTCCCATCAATCACCTGGGCCGCACTGGGCACTGTGTACACAACCTCCGCCATCTGTCATGAGCTCCCTTATCTGTGTCCTCACAGGGTGCCGCACGCGCCCCCCCCCATCACTCCTAGGTGGTAACATCTCAGGGCGGGGCACACCCCCCCTCCGCCCCCACTGTGCCCACCCAACCCGCACACTTCTCCACCGGTCATGCGCACCCTGACTTGCCAGCCTGCACCACTGGGGGTCAGGACATCTCGCCCAGGCGTGGAGTGTCACACGAGTGTGCCTGCAGTGGCGCGGGGAAGGGGGAGCAGGCCAAAACATGACATCACTCATTCTTTCAAAACATACTCATCGTCTAAGAGGTGCCAGACGCTGGGGTAAAACCCAAAGTGACAGCAGGAATCTAGGCTAAGAGTCCCTGCCTCAAGCCCAGCAAGACCAGTGCTCCCGGCTGGGCACAACAAGAACTGAGCTGGCAGCCCAGGGGGGATGGTAGAGGCAAAGCAGGTTTGAGACCCCAAGTTCATCAGAGCCCTTGAAGGGCTGGCAGAGCTGAAAGGGGACCCTCCCTCCCCCCAGGTCAGAGCGAGGGGCTCTCTATCCACACCTGATATGGAGCCAGGATGACCACGAAGAGTCCCCCAAAAGTCATGCCAGCTGCCCCCAGCTGCCCCATCCCCCTCATGACTCCAACCCTGGTTTCTGTTTGTGTCTTTCTGCTTCATACGTTTTCATCTTCATTATTTTAAGCTGGCAGTGTAGCGTTTAATTTTTTTAAAAAAATTGGTCCATTAAAGAAAACACATAATCTTAAGAGAAAGGGAGAAACTCAACAAATTCTGAGCCCATATTTACAGGAAGCTGTTAGAGACATTGAGACAGAGATGGGGAGGACCTAGACTCAGAGGTCCCAGTAGGACAGCCCCCGCAAGGACAGCCATGTTCCTGGTTTGTGGGAGAGCCTGGTGAGCTTACAGTAGGACAGGTGGCATAGGGAACACCTCTTACATCAGAGGGACCTCACTGAATCCCTCTGAGCCCAGAATGGGGTTCAAAGCACACCCGGGGAGATCGCGTGGGAGCCCCACTATTCTCCTCCCATCCTGTGGACGTGGGGTAGTATTTAGGGCAGGAGATAGGGATGCTTGCCGTGGAAAAGGTGTCTACACCTTCTGCTTGGGCTTTGAGGCCCCAATCTACTGCCCTGGCATTTCTCTCTCTACCAGTTTCCATAGCTGGGGCCCAGGGTCCCCCAAAAGCAGCTGGTGGTCATTTATAGTGGGTTCAATGGTCCCATAAATTAATATATCCATCCAAGTGACATCTCAGGGACACAAAATAAAGGCCCTGCCCCGAGCTCTGCTCTAAAACATCCCCAGACCTCCCCTGGGGATAAACCAAGTTATGGTGATGGAACCAGAGGGTTGCCCCTGGCATCCAGTCTAAAGACCTGAGGGGGACATGGAGAAGACTGGTCGCTGTGGGTTCCCACCATCCTAGCAGGGATGGAAGGGAGTTGTGACTGCACTGGCAATCCTCAAGTAAGGGCACACAGAGGGAAACGCAGCCCAAGGATGCGAGCGCTGTCCGTGGTGCTGGAGACCGCTGACTGCACCAAGATCGGTCAGAAGCCAGATACAGAGTTGATTTGGGATATGAGGCCAGCAAGAACCTCTCGTTACTCAGCAGGGCAGGGTTCCAGGGTCTCTCTCTCTCTCTCTCTCTCTCTCTCTCTCTCTCTCTCTCTCTCTCTCTCTCTCTCTCTCTCTCTCTCTCTCTCTCTCTCTCTCTCTCTCTCTCTCTCTCTCTCTGGGGAAGCCATAGATGCTTCTTGGTGACCTGGTTCCCTTGGGGCACCTTAGGTCAGGGATTTCTGAGACACTCTCCAAATAACCCTCTGAAAGCCTTGCCCACAGCTCTCTGGCTCTGCAGACCTTGGCATTCAGAGACAACTGTCCCCAGAGGTTGTCATCTCAGCCCCAAACCAGACCAGCATGCTGATGGCGACAGCCAAGTGGGCCATGTCTCTCCACCTCCAACCCAGCTGGGCACAGAAGGCTGTCTGGAGGCACCGGGATCAACCCAGGGCCCGGAGGGAAAGCCCGCACATGCCTCAAGGTTTATGGCCAGACTCCACTTGTGGCCTAATCACACCCCACTACTGTGACCACCTCGGTCATCTGGGACCCAGCTGCCAAGCAAGACAACACTCCGGCGCCCCCCCTCCCAACACACACACACACACACACACACACACACACACACACACACCTCCCCAGCCTGGCCTGAGAACCTAGCTCTGCTGGACTCTGGGAGAAGGAAGCAGGGTCCCTTCCCAGGACCAACAGGTCCTAGTGAGTCCCTCACAAACTGCACCCTGCCTGGCTAGGACTGTCCACGGCAGGGAAACAGAGGCGTCCCTGGACTCGGTCAGTGCTCCATGTTCCTGCTGCGCCTGTCTAGCCCGTTGAAGATCTGCATTTGGGAGCAAATCCCCAGCAGAAGGGGTCTTTGCCCCAATCCTGGGGACTCTCCTGTCAGACATAGGCTCGTGCCCAACCGGAAGGATGGGAAAGCAACAAGGGCGGGAAAAGGGGGATGGACTAGGCAGAAAGGATGGGCGGGCCGACCTAGAAGGCGACAGGCGGGATGCCAGGGGTGCCTCGTAGGCACCCCGCAGTAACTTCACGGCTCTGATGGGACCCACGTGAGGGGCAGGAAAGAGACTTGCTGGCTGGGACCACTTTGGAACCCAGGGCCGCCTTGATTTGGGTGTTTTCTGACCCCATTTTGATCTCTCCATACCTGATAGCGCCCCAATCTTGATCAACTCAGGACAGGTCCAGACCTGCACCCCCATACACGCACATACACCCAATCCCATCTCCATCCGTTTCTCATCCCCATGGCTCTCGTCGAGAATAGACTCGCCACCCTCCCCGGCCACCTGGACTTGCAACCCCGCGGGGATGAACCTCGCCCAGCTCCACCAAGCGCCAACCAGCAAAGAACTTTACCGAAAGGGTCTCAGGGTGACCAGGCATCTTCTGACCATTATCTTCCCATCCGGGTTGACTGTGATCATTGTTCAAACTTGTCTGGGCGAGAAGCCGCGGGCGAGGCCGGACGCACCGTCCTGGGCCCGGCTCCGGCCACCTCGAGAAACGCGAAGCCGCTGCGGGCCGAAGCCGGGGGTCGCAGCGCCGAGGGCGCGCGGGGCGCGATGGCTTCGCTGCTCTGCAACCGCGCAGGGGATGCGGGGGATGGAGGAGATGGCGAGGCCTGGGCGCGTAGGGCAGGGGGTTTCGGCGAGGGCTCCCGGCCGGGCGGTCTCTGCGTCTCCGCCCTCCCGGCTTCACATTTTGGGGATGGCGAGGCGGCGCGCCTCCAGATCGCCGGCCGCGCGTCTGCCTGCTCAGGCTCGCTGGCTGGGCGGGACGGCGCCGCGGCGCGCAGACCGGCTTCCCGCGGCGGACGCCCTCATCCCCGGGGCCCGCGCCCTCCGAGCCGGCTAGAGGCGGCCCCAGGCCCGCGCCCCCGCCCCTCGCACCTTCCGGCCGCGCCGCTCGGCAGCCTGGCGCCCCGCCGCGCCCATGGCTCCGAGGGAGGGACGCCTGTGCGCACGCCTGCTCTCGCCTGCTCGCCCGCTCGTTCGATCTCTCGACCGCCGGCGCTCAGGGCTCCTGCTCCGGGGTCCCGCGCGGCGCTATAGCCCGAGGCGCCGCATTGTTCCCAATGAGGAGGCGGCCCGGGAGCCGCCTCGCGCTTCCTCGGCGCGTGGGCGCCACCTCGTGGCCGCGGCCCCGCCGCGCACCCTCCCGGGGCTGTGCGCGGAGGAGGGGGACACCAGCCGCTGGAGCCACACCGGCCGTGCGTGGTCCTGCGCCTCTCCCGCGGCCATGCAACTTCCTAGGGAATCCAACTGCAGAGGCTACTCCGGTAACTGCAAAGCGTAAGGCACAAGGGCGCGGAGAGGGGACAGTGGTCCGTCCTGCAGGCATGAGCCGCCCCCAAGAGCTTCTTTCTGTACCTGCAGCTGCACCGCCGCGGTTCTCGGAGCAGCAGCGCCCACCCACCCTGAGAAGCTCCCCCGAGTCCTCCCACTTCTCACTGGTCTATAATAAGCTGGGTCTGTGGCATTCATGCTGGGAGCCAGATCGTATCGTCTGGGATCTAGCCTCAGACCCTCTTCATCAGCGAGGGTTGGAGCTAACGGGGCTTTAGCTCACCGAGACCCTTTCAACTGCCAAACCCACGGGCTTGAATTTTAGCATTGTTGAGTCCTGTGTACATCCTTCCTGAATTTATCTGGAGCGGGTCCTGGGGCTCAGACTCTGGTTATCAGGCTTAACGACAGATTACTTTACCTCTAACCATTCTTACTGGCCCGTCACTTTGCTCCTTAGAGGTGATGTGGTTTTGGCTTTGACAGCCAGGAACGACACCCAGACTTGTGTCAGCTGGAGGCACCCAGACAAGAGGCATGATTTAGAAGAGTCTTAGCAGCGACCCCATCCCGCTGCCCTCAAACATTTCCTTAGCCAGCCTGCTGGAGTGCCCAAATTTCCCTCTTCCATCCGTCAATCCTTTTGACGGAAGCATGCAGGGTCAGACTGCCCTTGTTCAATGCAAATGTGTTACCTAGCTGAGGTAACACATCAGCCCCGCCAACACCAATTTATCACTCGTTTTCACATTGGCGGGGAGTAAGGCAATGAGATAATGGGACGGGGACAGGTGAACGCTGGTGAAAAGCAGGAAAAGCCATCAGTGTGAGTCACCGCTGTGAGAAAAGGCTCCCAGGGGGGCAGGACAGGCTGCAAAGGGGCCGGGGATGGGAGAGACTAAGGACTCTCTAACTCGGTTTCTACGTTGTGATGAACACCATGACTAAGAGCAACCCGGAAGGGAAGCTTTATGGTTGACATGTTCGCATCACAATCTGTCACAGAGGGAAGTCAGGGCAGGAACTCAACGAGGAACCTGGAGGCAGGAACTGAGGCCTTGGGGGAGTGCTGCTCACTGGCTCACTCTCCAAGGCTCACTCAGTCAGTTTCCACCAGGACTACCTGCCCAGAGACGGCCCCCATCATAGTAGGCTGGGCCCACCTATACTATTAATCAAGAAAACCCAGGGGCTGGAGAGATGCTCAGTGGTTAAGAGCGCTGGCTGCTCTTCCAGAGGACCTGGGTTCAATTCCCAGCAACCACATGGTGGCTCACAACAGTCTGTAATCTAGCTCCCAGTGATTTGACACCCTCACACAGGCACACAAGGAAGCAAAACACCAAGTGTACAGATCACTTTTTTTTAAAGGAAAGGAACGACCACAGGCTTGCCTATAGGCCAATCTGATAGAGGCATTTCCTCTTCTCAGATAATTCTAGCTTGTATTAAAAAAAAAAAAACTAACAGAGCATAGGGTTTGTCCTGAGCTAAGGAGGGGGCACCTCTCACAAACCATCTTTGTACTCAGTGGCTTTGGGGCACTTACTAGTGGGAGTAGGGTGTCATGTCTGTGTGTGGTAGAGATCTGGTCTGGGATAGTGCCCACCCAGCCTGGGAACTTTCTAGAAGCCATGCAGGTCAAGAAATTTGAATGGGGTCTGGGGCTCCGCAGGTAAAGGCATCTGCAACCAAACCTGACAACCTGAGTTCCAGCCTCAGGCCCCACATGCTAGAAGGAAAGACCTGACTCCCTCAAGTTGTCCTCTGACTTTCACACATGCATCATGAAGTACATGAAATGTGCCAGGCAGTGGCGGTGCACGCCTTTAACCCCAGCACTCAGGAGTTTGAAGTGCAGCCAGTAGGGTAGAGCAGCATCCACCTGCCTCTGCTTCCACAACAGGAGGATCCCTGGGAGTTCCAGGCCAGCCTGGGCTACAGAGAGAGTTCCAGGACAGCCAGGACTGTCACATAGGGAAACCCTGTCTTGAAAAAAAATACACAAATAAACAAATAGATAAAAATGTAACAACAGCTGGATGTTGGTGGGGTGGCTCATGCCTTTAATCCCAGCATTCGGGAGGCAGAGGCAGGTAGATCTCTGTGAGTTTCGAGGCCAGCCTGGTCTACAAAGCGAGTTCCAGGACAGCCTCCAAAACAATACAGAGAAACCCTGTCTCGAAAAACCAAAAATAATAATAATAATAATGTAAAAAAAACAATGTTTATTCCGACCACACACCCTCCATTTCCCCAAGCTCAAGGGGTTAGTTTACACCCAGTTTATACTTTCCTAGGGTAGAACTCAACACCTTCTTAGTAGGTATGACTGTAGTGTACCATCTGGGGAGGTGGCCTTCCCCCAATCAGGATTTACCAGATGGAAAAGGACACTCCTAGTTGGCGTGATGACGTCCATCCGGCACTTGGGAGATAGAGGCAGAAGGATCAGGAGTTCAAATGCAGCCTTGGCTGCATAATTAATTTGAGTACAGCCTAGGCTACATGAGACTCGGTCCCAAAAAGGTAGTTTAACCCCACTGCCCACTTCCTCTGGGTCTTGCTCTATTGGATATGTCCATATGGGGGCAGAGGGACAGCCCCCTCTGCCACTGAGTGGCAGGCTCAGAGCCAGCGAGAGGCAGAGGGAGAAGAGCCAGGGATATTTGATATGACAGGTTGCCCAGCTGCCTGCTCCCTTTTGTCAGCCTCATCTCTCCAGGGAAGTCCGGTGCCCCCCCCCCTTGCTGCATACATCAGGCAAGAAACTATGAATCTCGCATTATGCAACCTTGAACACAGCGGCTCTGTGCCTCAGTTCCCCCACTGTGAATCAGGCTATTTATAGCACCGGTCTCGAGAGGCTGGTGTGAGAATGGAGCCTGCGGATGCACGCCGCTGTTCCTGTCTGCCGTGGCGGCGCTGGGGCCCTGCCCGTATGTCCTCTGCATTCCCCTCTGCACACCAAACTGCAAGTTACTGAGACACCGCTTCCACTCTGTCTGATGGCTGCAAGAGAGGCGGCAGTGTGCTGGGAGAGGACTGGGGTGCCCCAGGAGCACCCACAGCAGTAGACAGACACCCCTAAGTGTGATACTGAGCCACACCCCCCACAAGCCCCTGGTAAGACTGTGCTCCGGCTGCTCGGGTGGCCATTTCTCCGCGGTGCCAACTGCCTGGGCAATAGCTGCCTTCTCTGCCCTGTGACATCTGTCTTTCTTCAGTCACTGCTCTTGGGTCAGCTCTCAGACGAGCTACTGCACCTGAGTCCCAGTCTCAGAATGCCTTGCCATGTGGACCAGGGCCAACAGCCCTGGGCCACAGCAGACTCAGCTGTGGAACTTAGCAAAACAGAAGCCCAGCTCTAATCAGGTCCCAGAGGTCACACTGGGGGCTCATCCCGGGTTTTTATTAGTGTGTTTTGTTTTGACGCAGGATCTCATAAAGCCCAGTGTCTTAGTTACTGTTCTGTTTCTATGAAGAGACACCATGGCCAAGGCAACTTGTAAGATTTAATTGGGGGCTGGCTTACAGTTTCAGAGGGTTGTTAGTCCGTTACCATCATGGTGGGAGCATGGCGCCACACAGGCAAGCCTGGTGCTGGAGAGGGAGCTGAGAGCAGTGGTCAGAGGGAGGGAGACACTAGACCTGGCCAGGACTTCTGAAACCTCAAAGTTCACACCTTAGTGAGCGACACACCTCCTCCAACAAGGCCACACCTCCCAATCCTTCCCACACAGTTCACCGCCTGGAGACTAAGCGTGCAGACTTAGACTATAGAGGTCACCCTCCTTGAAGCCACCACACCCAGGCTAGCCCCAATCTTGCTACATATTGGGGCTGTCTCTAAATTCCTGATCCTCCTGCCTCTGCCACACACACCATAATTTTTTTTTTGAGACAGGTCTGTCTTTCTATAGCCCCGACTGGCTTGAAACTCACCAGGTAGGTCAGGCAGATCTCAAATGCAGAGTTGCCTCTGCCTCCCAAGAAGTAGAACTAAAGGTGTGTGCACCATACTGTCTCTGTTTCTTCTTTAAAACGGTAACAGGGAGTATCTGTATGGCAGCCGTCTTGGAGCAGGCAATAGAAACTGAGGCAGGCCTGCTGCAGGGCACAACTAAGGATAAGTACCGGGTCCTAGAAGGTTCCCGACCTGAGCCCTCTCTTCCTCTTCACGACTTCCTTCTTTTGTGGGAGGGTTGGCCTTGCTGCAGCCCCTCCCCCTCCCTGGCATCCTGTGCTGGGGCCGCCAGGAGAAACCCAGAGCCAGCAGCTGGCCTGAGTGGCAGTGAGTTCCCCTGCTGAAGATGACAGAGGAGGACCCCTGGAAAGGATCAGGGAGTAAGGGAGCCATCCCTGTTCAGGATCTTGGACTCAGTGGGGAAAACCTAGAAAAAGCACTGAAGGTGTTTCCTAGGTTACCAAAGCACATCTCCACGAGAAGAACAGCTTCCACATACTCTCTGGACTCCGGAAGCGCGGCGTCTGAACTTAAGGCATCAGAGGGGCTGGGTCCTTCCGGGAGCTCTGATGGAGATGCTGTCCCTGCCCCTGCCCAGATGCTAGTGACAGCTGCAGCGTGTGCTGTTTCTCGGCTTGCAGGTGGCCTGTGTGTCTCTTTCTGTGTCCAGAGTTCCCTGTGTGAGGACAGCTGTCCTAGCATATAGGATCCACTCTGATCCCGGATGACATCATTCTATGTGAGGGCAAGCATACAGGATCCACTCTGATCCCGGATGACATCATTCTATGTGAGGGCATTTGCTGGAACCCTATTTCTAAACCAGATGGTGG